GTATATATTGTATATTAACTATAAAAATAATAGTTTCAAACCATAACGAAACACAAACTTCAGCTCCTAAACAGCAGCTCTTATAAATATAAATTATAGAATTTCATATTTCTTTAACAAATAATCTGAACAAAAAATAAAAATTAAATGTGAAAATGTGGTGAGGTCATTTTGACCAGATTTGACTTAATCCTCATTTCATATGAAAAATTCCACATATTTATTATTATAGTCTGGATTTTGACAAAATTAGTCCAACTTATGGTGTCTTATTTTGAAAATATGGWTGTTGTGCTTGTTCCTTTTCCTGTTGGTGTGATGTGATGTCTGTGGATTGACTGGGGATTAATTAATTTGTGAATTAGGGGTCAGAGCCACCAGGACTCAGGGAGAACCAAAGACTGGATCTGAACCTCTGAGGGAAACCCAGAAGACCCAGCCCTCCCTGTCAGATTTAAGCCCCGCCCCCTTCATGTAGTGGCTCTAATAAAGGTCATGTGACTTGTGACGAGCGTGGGAATGAAAGAAACAAACACAGTGAGTTTTCTTAGAAACAGCTCAGGTTTATTATTTAAAAGAYTACATCCCACCCTGAGCCCCCCGACCCTCCAACAGCATCAGTTTAAAGCGTCGAGTCGTCCGACGGTGAAAAAACAAAAAGCTTCAAGCTGTTAAAACGTTACAGCAGATTAAATCTCTTCACACAGTAAATCAGAATAAAGCTTCAAATAAAACCAGAATAAAAACCGTGGATCAGCTGACGAGCTCTGAAAAGTCCCACGCTCCTTAAACGCCTCAGCTGTGAAGTTTAAAGCAAAGTTTGTGTCTCCGCCGCAGACAGGAAGTGTGTGCGGCCGGCTTCCTGTCGACATCCAGGCTCCGCCCCCTCCTGGACCTCGGCCCTCGCCGGCGGTTTGACCGACCGTCACCCCGAGCTCCTGAACACAACACGGACATGATGAGGATCAGAACCAGTAAAGGTTTTACGTCACAGCTCAGACATAAAAAACCCTCATTAAAGTTACATAAAATTAGGATTTAGACCAAATGTTTCTGTATTATTGTAACCAACAATACAAATTAAATCATATCTCTGATCTACTAAAGATATCAGGATGATCTCAGCATCAAAATGTAGCAGGAATCTGAAAATATGATGAGGTCATTTTTACCAAATTTGACTTAATCCTCATTTCGATTTGATTGGTCAAACGTAGTGTCTGAAAGTCRACGTTTAAAAATAAATAAATCCTTTTACATGTCAAATGTTTCTACACCATTTGATCTGAAATGTTTTTGGTATTTTTCATCAGTTTGACTAAAGATGGGAGCAGATTACCTAATTTCCCTCTGAGATCAATAAAGTATTTTTGAACTGAATTTAATATTTGCAAATAGAAAACATTCATTCAAGGGTTTTATTATAATTTTTTCTTGTTTTATTTTAGATTTGTGTCTTTGTAGGAGTAAAATCATTTTCTAGCTGTTTTTTTTAAGTTCATCTGTTAACTTGCAGACATTATTTGTAAAACTCAACACAATATTTTGAATAAAAAGCTCTTAAACTAAAGTTAGAAAATAAAATCAAAGTAAAAGTTCCAGGTTTTCTGCTCAGAGTGAGTCATAAACCAAAGATTGATGGTTTAACAAGCAGAACTAATGAAAATACTGAGAAAAGCAGCTAAATGATAAATAAAAGGACATCAGAAAGTCTGGAGAACTGTCAAGAAGTGACAAAAACTAGTTTTAAATAAAGTTACATTTAAAATGAAATGCTATATTTTATATGTGAAAGTTTAATTTGTTAAATTTTTTAGCTGCAANGCTAAATGATAAATAAAAGGACATCAGAAAGTCTGGAGAACTGTCAATAAGTGACAAAAACTAGTTTTAAATAAAGTTACATTTAAAATGAAATGCTATATTTTATATGTGAAAGTTTAATTTGTTAAATTTTTTAGCTGCAAAATAACTAAAATTTTATTTTCTCACTGATTTTAGTGTCTCATCTTTACCTGAGGAACTAAAAGATTAAATATCTGATTCCTGTTTGTAATTACAGTAACTGAGCAGCAGGTGGCGCTCTGACTCCTTTGAAATGAAGTGAACTAAACCTCAGATGAACTGTTTAGTTTTTATTGAATCAAAACATGAAAAACTACAGAAACTAACTTTAATTCTTGTGTTTTTTTTCCTCTTTGTGTTAAATTGAAACTGGGCTGAAGTTCTCAGAGGAACCTGCTTCAGCGATGCGTTCAGTGGCAGTGGGACGTTTGTGCGTTGACTCACATGTCATCAGACACAGGGCGCCACACAGGAGCAGCGTCAGCGCAGGAATGCCAGCAGAGAGGGGAGCGGCGCTGTCGCCTGGAGAGGAGGAGGAGGAGCCTCCCGCCTGCTGCGTCTCCTGCCGAGCCTCAGATTCTGCTTCTTTACACTTCTGACTGTAAGAACCCAAACACAAACCGGGTCAGGACCACCCTGCAGAACCAGAACCCTGTGTGTGAACTGGACTCACAGCTGTTTCTGCAGGTACTGCCGGTTGGACTCGCAGGCTCTGGTCTGACTCTGAGCCGCCAGCAGCTGACTGTCGGCTGCTGCCTTCAGGCTCAGGCAGGCCTCGGTCTGGTGGTCCGCCTGGGTCAGGTTCTGCTGCAGGGCCTCCATCCTGTCTGAGGGGACACAACAGACCCGGTTTGATTTACCTCAGAACCTTCAGGTTAAAACCACACCACAGGAGGATTTAAAAAAGCTTTTTTATGAACAGTTAACATCTTACCTGCTGCAGATAATACTTCCTGTTTTTATGAACAGTTAACATCTTACCTGCTGCAGATAATACTTCCTGTTTTTATGAACAGTTAACATCTTACCTGCTGCAGATAATACTTC